ATAAAAGAATAAATAACTCTAGCTAACTTTTATATAAAAGAATAAATTTTGAATTCAGTACTCAAAATGTGCAATCTGATCCTCCCACATACATAACTCGTACAAATTATTTTTTTAATATGACCAAGGATCTTTCGAGATTTGTTTGGGTTTAATTTTTTTCTTCTGGACTCTCCCATATTGGTTTGGTGCATTTAAAATTTTAATAGATAAAAATATCTTTCTGCCCATTGACCGGATTAATTGTTGTGGGTCTCTTACAAATTAAATTAAATCATTTAATCTAATGCCATCTTCTTTGATCTTAGAGCTCAAATACCCTGCTTCATTTGGTTCTCAAGGTCATGGATGAGTAATTAAAATCAGTTAATTTATGTTTATAAATTTTGTAGAATTGTCCACTTTGTGGTTGAATTAAATTTTGTATGGGTGTTGTAGGTGGCTGCACCGTTCTGTGCGAAAGAATCTTTATGCCCATCTATGTGAATGCGGGTACGTAGCTTCATATTTTAATTCGTTTGTCCACAGCCAAAAGCCCAAAAGTGCAGTGGTCTGTTACATCAGTGGATTCCAGAACATTTGGTTGCTCAAACTGAACTATAAGAATTAGAACCAGAGCCCTCCACTCCCATTCTTTGTAGGGTCGGGTGCCATGCCTAATATTGCGAGAGGTTCACCCAACATTTTATCAAAGGGAGCTTGTACCTTCACTTATTTGTACCTTTATTTTTCTCTTCACACTTTTTTTTATAATCTTTTAATTTGTATTTTTCAAATTAATCATTTTTAAAATTTTTAGATTTGCAAATTTAATAACTTTACAAATTCAAAAACTTTTAGAAGTTTTCCGATTCACGTATTCAAAAACTTCTAAAAATTTTCCTTTACATCGTTAAAATTAAGAAAAAATTAAAAAACTTACATGTGCGCTCTTTCTATTAAAATTATTATATTTGTTTATCAATTCGTAAATGAGTTTATAATTATTTAAATTAAATCATATTTTTCTTTACAATATTACCAAAATTCTTCAAAAATACAAGATTTTTTTCTTCAATTGAATTTTTAAGTTTTTTTGGGAATTTCAAAAAATTAAATAAATAGTTCATTTTTAGATTAAAATGATATTGATGAGATGGGTTTTATTGAAAACTCTAGATTTTAAATGTAACCTTTTTAAAAAAAAAAAATTTACTAGATGTAAAAATTCGATAAATTATATAATTTATAGGTTATACATATTCTAAATTATATATCAATATCCGATAATTATATAATTTACTAAATACACATACCTGTTATTAAGTAAGTTATATAATCATTGATATGTATATTAAAAACTTTTAAAATTGAGATGAAAAAAGTAATTAAATAATTTAATTTAAAGATATTTTGAAAAAAAAAAGAAAATAAAAATAGGGCGAGAATAAAAGCACTCTTTATCAAACTTAATCATCGGAAACAATGACCAACCATCAAATAAATGAAATCTCTCAACCTCCCAGTCTTTCACAATTATTTTACGCAGTCAATGCGCGCAGGCATGTAAATATTAAATCTCAGAAGCCACAGCTTAGGTACTAGCTTAGATAAGCATATTATGTGAATGAGAAATCAATAAAACACACCGTCCCAATCCTTTTACCGTAAGTGTTCTGGGAAAATTACACCAGAAGAGGTTGCATCATTAAATTTTAAACCCACCACATTTTCACTAGATTACCCTTCATATAAGGCAGGGTCATCAATTTTCTGTGTACTCTTTTTTCGCTTTAATTGATTTGATTATTGAATGATCATTATCTTTTTCCATCTCTCTCATGGTTGTATTTGTTTTCCGTCTTGTAAATTATCAACTGAGATCCACCGTTTTGATTTTTCAGTATCATTAATCCAGATGACAATTTTAAATACGATCTAATTACTTAATTCAAATTGCCATCTTGGTCGACAAAACAACAATCTTGGCTTAACTTGATCGTGTGTTTGATAGTTTTTATTGAATAATAGTAGTATTTGCACGTCTGCATAATAGATGAGCATCACAATTTAATATTTAAGTTGGAGTTTCCAAGCATCACTCTTGCTGGTTTGAAGTATTCAAAGTTTTGGGTGACCATGTTTGAAAGTATGGGAACAAAGCAACCTCATCAGCCTTCAGACAGGCTGGATGCTTTGCTGGAGCTTTATCGGATGCTGCTACATGTCGGCATCCAAGGTGGGTGAGCTGCAAACTGAATATGATACTACCCACTCACAGATTTCTTCGAGGGTAATGAATAAAAAAAATTAATGTCCAGCAGCAAAAGCATGGACTGTCAATGAATATGCAATCCTAGCTGCGGTGGTAATAACTTTTTTAAAGTTTATAATAAACATAAAATATGAATGGATACCACGGCTAGAGATAGGGATGAGAAAAAAAAATCAAAAAATCTGAAAAGAATAAAAAAGAAAAATTTTTAAATAGATTTAAAATTATAATATTTAATTTAATTTAAATTAATTTTTATTTGATTTAAATCAAATTTGAATATTAAATGTATATATTAAATTTAGTTTAAGAGATAAAAAATTAACAAAAAATAAAATCAAATTGAATTATATATATTTTAATTTATATATATTTTATATTTTTAAATTAAAAATAATATTTTTTATTAAAATTTATTTAAATATATTAATATTTATATATAATATATAAAAATTAAAAATTAATAAATCAAATTCAACTAAATTGATAAATTTTAATTTAATTTACTTCAAAATTAAATTAAATTTTAAATTTTTATAATATTATATAATATAAAAAATTCGAATTGAATTATTTGATCCGAATCAACGATTATTATTATCCCAAAAAACGCAAAGGGCAACAAATTCCCAGTGTTTAATTGTTGGCGCAGCCTATCGGTCATAGACTCAAGCGGGAAAAATGGCAGAGTTGACATTATCATTTGTTAGTCTGGGACTCTAGGCTCTACTGCCATCCTTCCCCGAAGGTGTGATTATTGACTTTGGAGCATCTCAAAATGCTGGTTTCCGAAGTCTTGTACAGCTAAATTCAGCTCATAAATTGCATGAATATAATAGATGAAGGCGGCTAGGAAAAAGGGGAGCATATGACACTCAGACCAACATTAATATTCAGTATCATATCCATGATTTGCATGTAGGGATTTTTTTATCTTCTATATGACTACATCTATGAACATGTTCACGTTTGCTTGGTCAGCATTTAGTGTCAAAGCAGCTGGATCCAAAAATTATGATCCCTTACAGCTGCAAGATTTGGTATAATGCAAAAGGAAATTGGCCATCTCATCTCGGACTCATCAACAAATGCTTCAAATTTATGATTGTTGTTGAATGTTGAAACTAATATCTCCTAGAAAAAACCCACATTTTTTGGGAAACATGGAGACAAACACAGCTATACAAACCATCCATATTGTAGACAAAGAAAATCAATATGATATAAGACATGAAATTTAGTCAACGATTTCATGTAATAAACATTAAACTTGAACTTTAGTTTTATGATCATGATCATGGTTAATTAGTTTTTGAATTGCATAAGGCTTAGATTCTCAAAACTTAGAATTTTGGAATATAAAAATTAATTAGTATTTTTAGACCATCTATGACATCTTTGAAAAAATATAAATAATAAATTTTAACCTAATTAATTCATATAATTATTTTTTGAAAATAATATTCAATAATTTTAATATTTACAAGTTATAATATATTTTCAAAAAAAAAAATTATGCAACAAGGCAGTTGGTATATGAGAATCCTTATGAGACGCAGCAGTACTAGTTTTATGTTTTTAGTATTTCGGGACTTAAAGGGCATTGTAAGTAGACTCGTAGGCAAGCAATTCAACAAAAGATTATTATTATTATAAGATAATATAATTTTCATATTGCATTTATAAGATAATATAATATAATATAATCATGTAATCTAAGTAATTATCATACTTTACAAATTAGCATGCAGCCTCGTGACTTCTTGCTTGGTTTTGGATAATGTTCAATTAAGCTCCTGAATTTAGGCATAGATAGTCATTTTTTTTTACGTTGGTCAATACCCTTGAATCTGGTCTATTTATTGTATAGGAAAATATACACAATTAAATTAATCTTGAACTGCCACACTTAAAAAGAGCATTAAATTAAATTTTTAAAAATATATTTTGAAATTATTGAAACTTAAATTTTATTTTTAATTTTATTATTTTATTAAAAATAATATCAAAATTAATTCGTTATACTCAAAAAATAAATAAAGCAAAAATATATTAGGAAGGGAGTATTTATTACATTAAAAAAGAAGTTCTTGTTACATCCCCACCACTTTCACAGTCTCAACTTTCTTTTTTAAGTGCCTTTTAAAATTTGAAATTCAAACTCGAAAACCAAAACCAACGTTTGCCTGCAAATTGGCTTGCGAAAACGAGGTACACGAGTACGGACTTTTGTTTTTTTTTCTTTCAAAAGGAAGGAAAAGGGTTGGCTGGCAATGGCTAGCCCTGGTGAACCACTGCAAGTCCGCAGCTGTACCTTGGCTCGCGTTAGCTCGATCCAGCTAAGCGTATTAACTAATCGCTTTTTCTAAAGAGCCACTTCACCTAGGATACCCAGGCTTTACCCACTCGGTGACTGCTAACTCCAGCCTGTCTTCCATAACGTATATTTGCTTTCATTTTCCAGCATTTGCCCTTCTCATGTTCCATAATGTACTAAAAATCAAAGGTTGTTTTGGTCAATAAAACGTTAGGCTTACTGTGACTAAGCTGTCATGCCTTTACAGAAGACGTCGCTCACTCCCCCAAGAAACTTGGATACACGCACCTTGGCTCCACTGCCGTATTTGATTGGTGAGTGTAATCAAATGACCTGGTTAGCGGACAGGGAAAACTTGGTTTGGTTGAATCGTTGAGTCTCTTTTCACGAGCTTTATATTTATTGTCTGTTTCTCTGCAGGTTCGCTAACTTCACTTAACCCCGAAATCATTTTTTGTTAATTCAATAAATAAACTCGTTTTCAGGCCTCTATATATGTACCCATTTCCACTCTCTCAAATCCACAACTCAAAACTCAACGCGATTTCAGCTTGATTTGATACCCTCCAATTTCAAAGCATCTTTGATATTTTGGTCAGAAAATCAGAAATGGCTTCTTTTGTTACTCAAAGTGTCCTACAAATTTTCCTCGTGATCTCATTTTTTCAAATCTCTTTGGCTGGAAGGAAGCTGAGTGAAGTGGTTCAAGACCAGCCTCAGCTCTTGACATACCACAACGGCCCTCTCCTTTCGGGCAAAATTACAGTCAATCTGATTTGGTATGGCAAGTTCAAGCCCTCCGAGAGGACTATTATCTCTGATTTTGTCACCTCTCTTTCGTCTACTATACCATCTGTAAACAACCAACCGTCAGTTGCCCAGTGGTGGAAAACCACGGAGAAATACTATCACCTCACCTCCAAGAAATCCTCACTTTCCCTGTCTTTGGGAAAACAGATTCTTTATGAGAACTACTCACTTGGGAAGTCACTCAAAAACAAACAAATTGTTGAATTGGCCGCAAAGGGTGATCAAAGCAATGCCATTAACGTTGTCTTGACAGCATCTGATGTTGCTGTTGAAGGGTTTTGCATGAGCCAATGTGGGACTCATGGGTCTGCCTCGGGCTCAAACAATGGTCACATCAAGGCCAAGAGGTACTCCAAATTCGCTTACATCTGGGTTGGTAACTCACAGACCCAGTGCCCTGGTCAATGTGCCTGGCCATTCCACCAGCCCGTCTACGGACCACAAAACCCACCTTTGATTGCACCAAACAACAATGTGGGTCTTGACGGCATGGTGATCAACTTGGCTAGCCTCTTTGCCGGGACTGTCACGAACCCTTTTGGAAATGGTTACTTCCAGGGCCCAGCTGAGGCACCATTGGAAGCTTCATCAGCTTGTCCTGGAATTTATGGTAAAGGGGCTTATCCAGGTTATGCAGGAAACCTACTGGTAGACCCAACAACTGGTGCTAGCTACAATGCTCATGGTGACAATGGAAGGAAATACTTGCTTCCTGCTTTATATGATCCGTCTACATCATCTTGTTCAACTTTGGTCTAACAATATGAAGCAGTGATTAGCAAATTAGTGTTAGCATAATGTACGCGGTTTATAAAATGATGTAATTCTTTTATTTGTTAAGCAAACTACTTTGGTTTGCTTTTTCAGAATTGCAATTCTTATTACTTTCGAGTTTCAGATGGGACTGTTTATTTTACACGGTGAATCTCTCTAATCAGCTGATTAACTGTAATTTTTTTAGCATTCCCACAGTTTTACTTACCTTGCTTTTTTTTTTTTTTTTTTTTTTTTCATACAATTGATATTGAGATTTGGTCAATAATCTAGGCAAGTGTATGATATTAGAATGTCAAGTGAAAAAAGCCCCCCAGTTGCCAGCAAGAATGGGACCCTACTAGGAACAATGGTCTTTTTCAAGCAATTATAGACATTTATTTTGGCAAAATTGTTGTAGACACTTGTTCACAAAAACACAAGTGCTTTTCTGCCTACATATCTTGTCCTAAAATTTGTCTTTTTGCCTTGTCCTGGAATAAGGGAAATGAAAACAGATGCTGCTTTATTCATGATACACATGTTTTAGTTTAAACGTTAAAAAAGCTCAATATGAAGGGAAAATTTCAAGGAAAACTGCACTTTGATCTGGGAATGATGAAATTCGAAGCAGAAAGGATTAATAATATCTTTGCCTAGAACCATGTTTGAAGTAGTTCAACTGAATTTTATCATACCCAAAAAATGCATGCATTTTGTTGTACCAGATAGAATCACCTCTTCGATTGGGAGAAGTCTGTCTGCAGTTGTTCAGAACTGCAGATGAATAAAAGAGATAAAGCTTACCTTGTGCTTTAGCTGCAATGAGTGGAAATTTTCTACCCAGAGCATGCATGATAGAAGACTGGTAAATTTCTAGCATCCAAGCGAGCAATTTCGTGAAGTCTAGCTAGAAAGTAGAAACCAAATGGTATATATCTAAGCCTACCATCAATATTTTGGAATGAATTGTTACCACTCCACTAAAAATAGTTAACCTTAACAATTTAGATTATGTGCATGTCTTTACCATGAATAACTTGCATAATTTAGTATGTTCGGTTATTACCAAAATTAAATATTGAATATTCAATCCATAGATCACATGACTTTTTATTATAATTTAGTAAACTTATATAATAATTTTTTTTTCAAAACTAAATTTTAAAAATTCCAAAAATCCTAATATTGGTTTGAGACGTGGTAAATAAATTAACATAACAAATTTACTTCCATTATGAATAAATTAGTAAGCTTTATTTGTTTTTATTAAGAAAATGTAAAAAAAAAAGAAAACAATTTGTTGGATTTGACTTGATGCATTTTATAAAACACATATAACCATTAATATCATTGATATTTTTATGAAAATCAAACAAATGCAATAGCCACTATCTTACATATAGAAAAAAAAAAAAAGAATAGTAGAAACAGAACAACAGAACATTCAACATCGCAAGTCATAATATTATGCACCACATAAACATGACATGTTTCTCTACTTACATTATTTTCGTTTTTGTTTTCGTTATTATTATTATTATTATTATTTTTAATCTTCAATGAATCGCAATTATGAAAACTAGAGTATATCTAAACTAAAGCCATCCCTTTTGGGCGCACAATCCCAGAGCTAAGGGTAATGATAATTTGATTTAGATTAAATTCATTTTGATTTTTTTTTATATTATATAATATTATAAAATTTAAAATTTAATATAAATTTGAATCGAATTTTTATTTGATTTAAATCAAATTGAATCAAATTGAATTAAATTTAATTGGTTTGATTCAATTTATAAATTTTGAATTTTTATATATTATTTTAATATAAAATTTTAATATATTTAAATAAATTTTAATATAAAATTTATTTTTATTTTATCAAAATTTAAAAATATATAAACACTAAAACAAATATTATTTTATTTTATTTTTTATTTTTTTCATTCAAAATTTGATTTAAATATAATATATATTTAATATCTAAATTAAATCAAATTAAATAAAAAAATTAATTAAATTGAAATAAATATTATAATTTTAAATCGATTTTTTTCACTTTTACCCAAAAAAAACGTAAAAAAAAAAAGTCAGAACGACATATCTCGATAACCATTAAAATTTAAACGTTCTTTAAGAGACTATGACGTGTTTTCACCCTGCCCCAAATGTGCCTTCACCTGTCTCAATAGCACTCAATTTTGTCCTTTTCTTTTCCCCCAAGGCACGTATACTTGTCTTAACCCCCCTTAGCTGGCTCGGAACTGTATTCTTAACACATTGATTCGGTTGAGAGCGAGCCTTTTCATTAAAATACAACGCGTCATTTGGCTGGCATGGCACCTCACACCTCCACTCGTTTACCTTTTAATTTTCGGCTCTTTCCTAGCACTTTCAACCCTCAAAAAATCAAGCATTATAAATACAATTCTCTCATTTCAGTTTTCTTCATCCCAAACCTCACAAAACATTCATCTGTGCTTCTCTTTTACAATCAGTTCATCATGGCTTCTTTTGCTACTTACAATGTTGTTCTTGTTCTTGTTTTCTTGCTCTCTTTGCTGCAGTTCAATGCAGAAGCAAGGAGGCTTGCTGAGTCAGATCAAACCGAGCAGCCTTTGCTGTTCCAATATCACAATGGCCCTCTTCTAACTGGGAAAATCTCTGTCGATCTCATTTGGTATGGCAAGTTCATGCCTTCTCAACGTGCTATTGTCTCCGATTTCATCACTTCCGTTACATCTTCCAAGCCTACGGTGGCTCAACCCTCCGTTGCTACATGGTGGAAAGCCACAGAAAAATACTATCAGCTCAGCAAGAAACCTTCTTCTCTTGTCCTCTCATTGGGTACACAAATCCTTGATGAGAACTACTCGTTGGGAAAGTCACTAACAGATCAACAAATCGTACAATTAGCATCAACGGGTTCTCAGAAGAATGCCATTAATGTTGTCTTGACATCAGCTGATGTGGCCGTTGAAGGGTTCTGCTCAAGCAGGTGTGGAACCCATGGTTCAGCTTCGGGCTCAAGCAATGGTCACCTTAAGGGCAAGAACTCCAAATTTGCTTACATTTGGGTTGGTAACTCAGAGACACAGTGCCCGGGTCAATGCGCTTGGCCATTCCACCAGCCCATCTACGGACCACAGAACCCTCCTTTGGTTGCACCAAACAATGATGTTGGTCTTGATGGAATGGTGATCAATCTAGGTAGCCTCTTGGCTGGGACCGTCACGAACCCATTTGGAAATGGCTACTATCAGGGTCCAAAAGAGGCACCACTTGAGGCTGCATCTGCTTGCCCAGGGATTTATGGTAAAGGGGCTTATCCAGGCTATGCTGGGGACCTTCCGTTGGACGCTACAACAGGAGCTAGCTACAATGCACATGGTGTCAATGGGAGGAAGTTCCTTCTTCCTGCTTTGTTTGACCCTGCAACCTCAACTTGTTCTGCTCTGGCTTAAAACAAAGATTTATAAGACACGCGAACATGTCAGTGTATAAAATATATGTTAGGCAGATAATTTGTGAGAGATTCTTTCATTGTATATTATTGAATTATTCTTTTTCTATCATGATTGAATAAGAGATTCACACTTAAATCAAATTTGACTGCAATGATGGGGGAACCGAGGAAAGATTGGGCTGATAAGAGGAAAGACGTGTTCCTAATATAGGAACTTGAGCATTTAGTAAATCAGTAGGACATGAAAATTTGTACAGAGGAATGTTGAGGAAATAATGTTGTGTTTCAAGAATTATATGGGTACCAGGTCTAATAAATGAGTTGACTCGTAAATTGAAGGGAAAAGAAGTCAGGAAATTTAGGGAATTTTATTGACTTTTAAGTAGTGGTACGGAGATGGGTTTTGTTAGGGAAAATTGACAATTGAACCATTCTGAATAGTCTCCATTAATCGTTAACATCCTTTAATGGCAAAAAAAAAAAATCATTGACACTCTTTCTGTTTGATTCATTCTTCAACAAAGTCAAATAAAATGTTTTATTTGTTTAGATTTATGTTGAATTTCAGTAAATATTTTGAGTATTGCCCAAAATATATATCTATGTGGTATTTGTTCTAGGACTTTAATTTTGAGCTGTAATAAAAATTTAAGGGGATTTATTCATTGGAAATGAACACACAAAAGGCAACAAAATTTGATTATCTAGCTAAACCTGTCAAAAATTGCACTTTCTTTTCTTCCTAGTTTTAAAGGTCCAGAAAAAAAAAAAAAAAAAGAACAATTATGTGATAAGGAAAAGGTTCTAAAACCTTTAAATTTTAGATTCAAAATCTGAGTTTGGTTCTAATTATATTATAATTTTTATTAATTTATTAATTTGATTATTTATATAATATTTAATTGCAATTATAATCTTTTTTTTGGTAATTGCGTGCCACTCATGAGCCGTAGAGTTAAGAACAAAGCCCAAATAGACATCTGATATTTGGGCTTAGAAAGACCCATAAATAGTGCTGTCCACATTCAATAGCCAATTTCACGGGCAATTCTCCGCCGCAAGAGGGTCCAATATCCAATCCCTTATATTAGTATTTCTAAATTCTAATTAATATATAATAATTCATTAATGAGACATTTGAAAAAATATGCGAGGTTTTATTCCTTATTACATAGATTGAATAATTTAATGGTGCAATTACAATATTAGAAGACTATTGGTTCACATTTGATAGCACGGTGGCTGAGACTCCTTCTGTGTTATGATATTGTTTATGAAAATTTATAAAATTTTAATCATAAAACGTAATTATATATATTATGAATTGAAAAGTATATGATTTGAATTTATAATTTATTTTAATGAGAATTATGATTTAAAAAAATTGAAAATTTTAGATTCAATGTATAACCGATTTTCTTGGACATGCAGCACCAATTTTTTCAACAAAATTGACAAAATTAAGATTATCTCCATTATTTTACTAGCAAATCCTTTTCAAACATGACGATTATTGACTTGGTTATTTAATCATTTAATAACAATATTTTATCCTTTGGTAATAAATATTTTGGTTTAGATAAATACTAATTAATGGAGATGAGACAACCCTATTTCCTAACAATATTTCCTCATTTACTTGAGT